CCACAATGGGAGAGGCCACAACAGTGAGAGGCCAGCGTACCAAAAAAAAAAAAAAAAAAAGTTAGATAAAAAAGAAAAAGGTAGAGCAGGGAAAGCAGGGTCAGAGTGCAGGCAGAAAGGTGCTGCCAGGGACAGTCCCACTGAGAAAGTGAGCCAAGAAAAATCTTAAGAAGGTGAGGGAATGGGATAGGAGGGTAGCTGAGAGAAGAATGTTCTAAGTGGAGAGAACTGAGGTGGGAGTGTGTCTGGAATGTCTGAGAAACAACAAGGGGACCGGTGTCGCTGGAGCAAAGTGAATGAAGAGGACAGCAGGAGACAGAGGTGCACTCCTCTGCGTCAGACCGCACAGAGCCTCGTGGGTTCTTATAAGGACTTTGTTGGAGGGTTCTGAGCAGAGGAGGGACCTGCTCTTACATGTTTTGAAAGAATCCCTCTGGCTCCTGTGTTAAGAATAGACTGTGGGGGGTGAAGGGGTGTGTAGAAACAGAGGAAATTGTAGGAGGCTACTACGGCAGTAACCCAGGCAACAAATAACTAAGAGAAGGTCTGACCAGGATGGAGGCAGTGCAGGTGGTGAGAAGTGTTTGGATTCAATTCTGGATATAGTTTGAAGGCAGAGCCAACAGGATTTCCTGACAGATCGGATGTGGAAGGTGAGAGAAAAAGTGAAGTATGACTCTCAGGTTTTAGTCTGAGCAATGGAAGAATGGTACCCTCATCAACTGAGGCAGGGGAGGCTGTGGGTAGAGCAGTTTAGGGGGTAAGATCAGATTTTGGGTGTGGACACGTTGAACTTGGGCTGTCGTTTAGACTTTTAAGTGGAGATGTCAAGTAGATGTCGACTGGATAAATGGGGAGAGAGGTCTGAACTAGAGCTCATGCCTTCACATGCTTTAATATCATGAGTTCACTGACATCTCCAAAATCTGCTCTGACTTCTCCCCTAAGCTGCAAGCTCCTATATTCCACCGCCTACTTGACTTAATCGTTTCGCTTTCTAAGAGACATCTCAAATTTAACATGTCCAAAACTACGTTCCTAATTCCCTGTCTCCCTCTACAAAACACAAACAAATGAACAAACAGCAAAACTTAAAAAAAAAAAAAAAGGCAATTCCATTCTTCCTAAAACTTTTACTTATCACTGATGGTTCCTTTCAAATTTCACATTCAAACCATCAACAAATCCTACTGGATCCACACCCAGGCTAACTGTACCACCTTTACCAATGCACCCTAGTCCAAAGCACTGTATCATCTCTTGCCTAGATTATTAACAACCTCTGAACTCTGACAGTCTGTTCTGCACAACAACAAAATTGATTCTTTTAAGAGGTAAATCAGAGCATCTCATTCCTCTGCTCAAAACCGTTTAATGGCTCCACTATCATAGGGTGTGGTACAATCCACCTTTCTGCTCACATCCACTTTCATCTTTCCCACTCACTCCACTTCTATCACACCGGCCTCCTCCAACATGCCAAGCACACGCCTCTGCCTCAGGGCCTTTGCACTTATGTTTCTTCTGCCTAGAAAACCCTTTCCCCAGATTTGCAAAAGGACTGCTCTTTCACCTCCTTCATATCTCTGCTCAAATGTTACCTTATCAAAAAAAATCTGCCCTGACTACTCTATAAAAAAAGAGTACACCTGATCTCCCTCACCTGGCTTCATTTCTCTCTGTTGCACTTATGATTATCTGACAATATAATATATAATACTTAATATTTTATATATATGTTTATTGTATGTCTCCCTTAACTAGAATTTGAGCTCCATAGTAGCACAGACTTTATTTTGTTCACTTCTCTATCCTCATTGCTTGGACCAGTGCCTGGCATGTAGTAGACATTCATTAAATATTTGCTGGATGAAGGAAGGAAGGAAGGAAGGCCAGCTTCGTTGGAGCTTAAGGGTTCATCATGACACCAGAAATTGGCTGGAGAAAAAAGACCTCAGTGTGAACTCTCTGAACACAAGTTCATAGCATAACAACACACACACACACACACACACACACACACACACCCTCAATAACCTGAAACCCATGAAAATGTATAACAAAGGGAGATGATGAAATATGCTTGTGGGGTGGAAAAGTATATAGCCATTAAAAACACTGATTATGAAGATAGTAAAATGTTCATGGTATGTTAAGGAAAAGTAGTAGATTGTGAAATAGAACAGCTCTCAATATACAATTATTGTACTACTATAATCACAGCAATGCAAAATACGTGCACACAGGAGAGCTGATGTTTAAAACAAACTATTGCGTTAGGCCTATTAATGAGATTGTGGTGGTTTTGTAATCTATTTTTCCTTCACAATTAAAAAAAAAAATTCTTGTATTCTTTTTCCCTTAAAAGGAGCACGTTTTAACTCCCTGGGCACACTGGCTGAGGAAAATCCCAGCCCAGTGAAGTTAGCGCCCAAGTTCCCCCAGAAACTCCAGCGAGCGGAAGAGGGGTCCTGGGCCACGCCTGAGCCGAAGGCTGCCCCAGAGGCTGAAACCCAGTGGTAAGTGAGGCATAGAGCATTTGCATGACTAACCCAGAGAAAAAAGCCACCAGAGAGTTGTTTCTATTTAAGCGCAAAGAAATGCGGAAGTAAATCTACTTGAACCCAAGTTGGCTTTAAAACGAAACCAACAGTGCCCCTGGAGGGTTTTTTGGGGGGGGCGGTGGAGGTGGGGAGGAGCTTATGTAAGGAGAGAAAGTCAAGTCCAAGCTCTAATGACCCTCACTGGAGAACCAAACTCTTCCACTGGGGTCCAGATTCATGGGCCTCGGGCCCTCAGAAAGACCTCTGTGTTAGTGCCAAGGGTTCTGAATCTAGAAACCCACTGAATGTCAACTTTAGACAAGGTTTTTTTTAACCAAACTAAGGTTATGAACATTGGTCATCATAAAAGATACAAAATTTCTTACTAGAAAAAGGCACATCACCTGCCAAATTGGAAACAATTTCAGGGTTGTCATGGACTCCCTAAATCCTAGACAATCTTACTTGGCCCAGATTAAGAACTGCTGCTGGGTCTCAGTAAATACGTTTTACATACAATGTGTACAACGTGAGGGCTGTTTTTCGTCTCTTGATAGGTTTGTGATGAATAAATACCAACTAACTTAAAAGAAATACTGAATTCACAGACTTTGTTGTTGTTGATGTTATGTATGTTCTCCAGGCAGACAGTAAACTCCCCAGCAGGTCCAGGAGCATGTTAAAAGGGGTCTTCTATCCCAGGGGTCCCCTATCCCTGCAGCAAGGCTGTCATCCAAGTGTCCTTTCCAAGACAGTGGGTCCTGCCGCCTCTCCCCGGTCCCAGGGCCCAGGCATTGGAGGGCACCTCTGCTTTCCGGGGTTTTTTCACGGAAATGCTGCAGCCGCTGGTTGGCTCACCTGTATTTAAGTTTCACTCTCCAATCATCAGCGGGTTTTCCGGACGTAGATTGCGCGCGTCTAAACGAGTCAGCAGCGCGGGCCTGAGCGCGTGGCGCAGCCCTCGAGGGCGCTCCGGGTGAGCTACCCTGGTTAGAGCCCCGCGGGGCCCGGGCGTAGGCGGCCGTCACTGCTGCGGCGAGCGGCGGAATGTCCTGCCCGCGAGCTCCCCCTCCTGGGCGCGCCTGGAGGCCTGGCCCGACCCGAGAGTGCGCCGCCTTCCGGCCCGAGGGGCGCACCGGGCGCCGCGGCGTGGAGGCAGCTGTCGGGCTCCGGCTCCCGACCGGC